AAAGTTCAGTATGCTCATCAGCCGAGAACTCGTCAATTAGTCCCACACGGTGTAGATAGCTGAAATTGAGTGGAAAAAGTTGAAATTAGACTAATTGATCAGTAAGTCGCGATAGTGCAATTAAAAAAAAAATGGCGGACACGTTAGGAGAAAGTAACAAAGTGTCAGTCACTTCAAAGTTTTAGGTAGAATGAGAAAACAAAAATATCCATTGTTGACATCATTAACAAGTGATCACATGACTTTTCGCGTTCAATTTGGGATGGATTTTTCATATTGAAGACTTCATATTGCACTCGCCCTATCAAATTTGGATGGCGTTGAGGTGCCTGATCAGCTACTAAAACTCCGAATATCCTTTGCTATTTACCTTCGAGCAACTTACGCCCGATTTGCGCCCGAAAATATTGAAATTACGCCCGAAATTGTTGCAGGAATAAATGGGTTAAAATCATCCGTCATCTCACTGTTTTAGTATATACTATAGCAACTATTTACCTAGGTGGAGGTGGCTAGTGGTGGATGTTTATCTAACTGCTTCACGGCTCTGTAAATTTCCACTACTAGCCACTAGCCACCTCCACTTAAGTTGATAGTTGTCAACAATAACTCGAAACAGCTGCTTGAAAAGTCAGAAGTAGTTATGACTACCAAACAGTGGAAACTGAAAAGGGCTTGAGTCCTTTAAGCTCGCTCGTCTTTAAACTTGGGTTAGAGTACGAAATTAATCAACGGTGTGAATAATCTAGGGTAGATCAGGGAGGAGATCTGTAACCATGGCAACTTATAGGTGGATTCGCTCACGCTCTCTGAACAGTTAGTTTACAAGTTAAAAAAAGATGATTTTCGGTATTGCTTAAATAGCGCTATATACTGCGAGGATCGTGCATCATACGTATCTAATACCGCAGTTCAAAATATATGAACTTCATATATTTCATTGTATCTGATTTATCACTTTCACGGGTTTATTACGAATCAACTTAACGGCCTGCTCCCAGTTGGCTTGTTAGCTCAATTGGTAGAGCGCTGCACTAGTATCGCAGAGGTCAGTGGTTCGAATCCCGTACAGGCCTGATTTTTTTCAGGTCTGATTTTCGCTATTGCTTAAATAGCGCTATCTACTGCGAGGATCGTGCATCATACGTATCTAATACCGCAGTTCAAAATATATGAACTTCATATATTTCATTGTATCTGATTTATCACTTTCACGGGTTTATTACGAATCAACTTAACGGCCTGCTTCCAGTTGGCTTGTTAGCTCAATTGGTAGAGCGCTGCACTAGTATCGCAGAGGTCAGTGGTTCGAATCCCGTACAGGCCTGATTTTTTTCAGGTCTGATTTTCGCTATTGCTTAAATAGCGCTATCTACTGCGAGGATCGTGCATCATACGTATCTAATACCGCAGTTCAAAATATATGAACTTCATATATTTCATTGTATCTGATTTATCACTTTCACGGGTTTATTACGAATCAACTTAACGGCCTGCTCCCAGTTGGCTTGTTAGCTCAATTGGTAGAGCGCTGCACTAGTATCGCAGAGGTCAGTGGTTCGAATCCCGTACAGGCCTGATTTTTTTCAGGTCTGATTTTCGCTATTGCTTAAATAGCGCTATCTACTGCGAGGATCGTGCATCATACGTATCTAATACCGCAGTTCAAAATATATGAACTTCATATATTTCATTGTATCTGATTTATCACTTTCACGGGTTTATTACGAATCAACTTAACGGCCTGCTCCCAGTTGGCTTGTTAGCTCAATTGGTAGAGCGCTGCACTAGTATCGCAGAGGTCAGTGGTTCGAATCCCGTACAGGCCTGATTTTTTTCAGGTCTGATTTTCGCTATTGCTTAAATAGCGCTATCTACTGCGAGGATCGTGCATCATACGTATCTAATACCGCAGTTCAAAATATATGAACTTCATATATTTCATTGTATCTGATTTATCACTTTCACGGGTTTATTACGAATCAACTTAACGGCCTGCTCCCAGTTGGCTTGTTAGCTCAATTGGTAGAGCGCTGCACTGGTATCGCAGAGGTCAGTGGTTCGAATCCCGTACAGGCCTGATTTTTTTCAGGTCTGATTTTCGCTATTGCTTAAATAGCGCTATCTACTGCGAGGATCGTGCATCATACGTATCTAATACCGCAGTTCAAAATATATGAACTTCATATATTTCATTGTATCTGATTTATCACTTTCACGGGTTTATTACGAATCAACTTAACGGCCTGCTCCCAGTTGGCTTGTTAGCTCAATTGGTAGAGCGCTGCACTAGTATCGCAGAGGTCAGTGGTTCGAATCCCGTACAGGCCTGATTTTTTTCAGGTCTGATTTTCGCTATTGCTTAAATAGCGCTATCTACTGCGAGGATCGTGCATCATACGTATCTAATACCGCAGTTCAAAATATATGAACTTCATATATTTCATTGTATCTGATTTATCACTTTCACGGGTTTATTACGAATCAACTTAACGGCCTGCTCCCAGTTGGCTTGTTAGCTCAATTGGTAGAGCGCTGCACTAGTATCGCAGAGGTCAGTGGTTCGAATCCCGTACAGGCCTGATTTTTTTCAGGTCTGATTTTCGCTATTGCTTAAATAGCGCTATCTACTGCGAGGATCGTGCATCATACGTATCTAATACCGCAGTTCAAAATATATGAACTTCATATATTTCATTGTATCTGATTTATCACTTTCACGGGTTTATTACGAATCAACTTAACGGCCTGCTCCCAGTTGGCTTGTTAGCTCAATTGGTAGAGCGCTGCACTAGTATCGCAGAGGTCAGTGGTTCGAATCCCGTACAGGCCTGATTTTTTTCAGGTCTGATTTTCGCTATTGCTTAAATAGCGCTATCTACTGCGAGGATCGTGCATCANCAGTTGTACCGGTTGGTCAAATGTTTTTGTACCGGTATAACTGATTGAATCTGTGTCAGTGACGTTATACACCGATTACTTCGTAGCTTCACATCGAGCTTCTGACTGTCGTCCTTTGAATATTACCAAGGTGGGGAGGGAAATTTGAACCGGAAGGGTTAAGTCTTTCTACTGGAATACTGGTGGTTTATCTTTTAATACGGAACACTTAGAGCGAACGGCTCAGCAGATAGGGTCTACAAGGTCTAGGTTTAGAGGCTTGAATAGTCAAATCAATTGGTGGTCAATAAATAGAAAGTCGCGGTGCTGATCTTGCCATTTACAACAGGTGTGACAATCAAATGAGGGTCTCCATGGGAAGATGGCTTTGACGGCTAACGGTTGAAGTTTTAGCCATTTCAAAAGGCTAATACTAAATTTTTTACGGTTATCGTTTTTTACGACTGACGGTCAAAATTTTTCAATTTTTACGCCTAACGGCTACTTTTTTGGACCGTTTTACGGCTAACGCTTACTCCATGAGACTCACTAAAATCTGGCACTTGGGCATCATTTTTTTTCTAGCATAATAATTGTAGTATCCCTCCGTCTAACGATGTCATCTGTTTGATAATCACGGAAAAAACTCTGTCAGGGTCTTCATTCACTCACGACTGAGTCTAATTATTTTCAGTTATTAAAAGCAATTACCGAAGGGGTTTTAAACGGGGTGGGAAGCCCTCGTACAGTTTTATGAAGCACGCTCGAGAAATTGAGTTTGATAACAAAATTATCGTGCTCCCCAGAAAAAGAAAAAAAAGAACGCCTAATTACTCGTTAAGTGAAGTCCTTACAGGAGTCTTTTGTCTTTTTTTAGTTACTTTTGCGAAGTCAGAACCTGGAAATTGCCTCAGTTTGACAAGAGACTCAACTGACTTTCTTGCACTGGAGATGAGTGAGTCAGCCAGGAATGAAGGTTGTCAAGGGATTAATTTTATAGCTTGAACGCTATTAGATAAACTGACCATCCCCTCCAAGTCGTTACCTGTAATCGATATAATACCTTATAGCATCCAAGTAAATAATTTCATCGGCTCCCATTAAGTCTTTTTTTACTCTTTTTTTCTTTAAACCTTTCAAGTAACAATTTTATTTTCAATGAGATGAACACTTGTTTTGCAGACACCTCTAATGACACACAATGGCGACAAGCCATTGTCACTGAAAATGAAATATAATTAATATACAAAGAGGTAAGTAAATTCTGGAGAGATCTAGGAACTCTCTTGAAGCTGCGAGCAGCTGATGTTGATAATATTGAGCAAGATAACAGCTCTAACCGTGACAGGGCGTGGAACGTGATGAAAAGGTGGCTCCAAAGGAAAGGAAGTGACGCAACGCTGGGAATTCTTACAGATGCCCTTGAGGAGATAGGAATGAGAAGTACCGTCGAAAAGCTAGTTGGTATGTGATTTTGCGATTTGAAGAGTGCTCACTCAGTGCTAGGTCTACTTATTTTCGTAAATAAAAACTTCAAACCCACTTGGGAAACGATCATCAAATAACCAACTTGTCTGTCATGCTAGGGTTACATTTCTAATGCAGTTTGCACTGTAAGCAGAAGTTTGTTATAATTACCGTAGTTACACCAAGTAAGGAGAAAGTAATTATATTAAAGCTCTATTTTATGTGAAAAAATTAAAGATATCAACGAATGGACAATTTGCCAATGGAAAGCTAGAGTTAATGAGCGTCATCGGCCTTTCAACTTAATAGTTTTTGCGATATTGAAGTACTTCATCTAGAGCTTAGAACCGCCTCCCAGTTAGCTCAATGGATAGAGCGCTGGACTGTAGTGCGGGAGGTCGAGGGTTCGAGCCCCGGCCGGACCAACACCCAAAGTCTTAAAATAATTGAGAATAATTTGCTGCCTTTCTATAACATCAAGAAATGGTTAGATATTCTAGTCTTCTCGGATAGGGACGAATAAATGGAGGTCCCGTCTCCTATAGGACAAGTTAAACTATTTTTACCAATAAAAATGCAAATGCATGTGCTTTAAACTGAGTTGCTGTTCAGAATCTTATTTTAACCCAGTGTAAAGTTACTGTTGCCCGAGGAGATTTGTTTGAGCCTGTAACCTTGCCATCCAAGGTTAACATTTGTAACTTTCTTTCCACTTTCTAACTAGGAACAGAAAAAATGACGGCTGGATTAAAATCCGTTCGAGCTGCAAGTGGGAAGTTACGAAAGGACGTTGAACTTTTGAAGAAAGAAATACAGGAAGAGAAACGGATGCATCAAGAAACACGTTAGATAGTCGGACAATTAATAGACAACGTCCACGAAATGCAAACGGAAATGGGAGAGAAAGACAGTCAAAACATGCAAGCAAGGGTCCAACGCCTAGAGACAAGAATTAAACAGCCGGAAAAGGAAGAAGTGCCGGAATTGACCCGATTAGGGGAAATCGAAAGGGGTCTGTGTGTTGTACAGGAGAGCATCAAAATAATCGCTGAATACCTGAAGATGGCAGTTGGAGGGTCATTAGAATCCGAAAAAAATGCATTAGATGAACCTAATGAGAGGCGACAAGAGGAAACCAAATCGACAGATCCAGTCCCGAGAGATACAATACAGAGAGAGCAGGAGAACCAAAGAACCGATGAAGTGAATATACAACCTTTGCTTGATGGTAGGTTTATACTGTACAATTTGTGTCTGCTACATTTGTAAGGGTCTGTCCAAGAGACGTCGATGGAGTCAAAAAACGAACACAAATTGATTTCAATAGCAAAATGTTCGTTTTAAGTTTAAAATAGGTCTCCTATGCGCATGCTCAGTAGGCTGTGGTATTTACCATTTGTTAAATATGTCAAGATTTTCTGCAATTATTGATTGGATCCAAAAAAGCCTCTTCATCCTCACGGATTGGGGTATTAAATAAGTTATCGCTCTTTATTTTTTTCAAACTTTTAAATAAATTTACCAGTGAAGGTTTTTTTCTTTCAGATAATAGTTTACCAGCAGATTTTCTCTTGTTTCGAAAACATGACAAAATTCATCATATAAACTGCGGTTTTTGCAAGGATTTTTAGCCGTGAGATTTCCATAACTTTATATTCATAGAAGCTCATGATTGATACTTCGCGGTCGTCCGATCACTGGTCTGATTTCAGACCAATCGGACTAGGTCCTAATTTGCGGAACCTGAAAAAAGCTAATCTGGAGATTTTTCTTCATACAGATATGGAAACAGAGAAAAAAAAAATAGAAACCGGAACAATAATAATGATAATAATAATGATAATAATAATTAGTATTTATATAGCGCACATATCTAAAACTGAAACTCTTATGGCGCTTTACAATAAGTATAAGAAATTAGTTAAAATTATTTTAAAAATGAACACAATAACTGTCGATAAATATAGAAAATAAATATGTTTTAGATTCTTTTTAAATAAAGGCGGTGTTCCGACATTTCTGACATGGTTAGGCAGGCTATTCCATAAGTTTGTTGCACAGACTGAGAAGGCTCAATCTGCATACGTTTTTGTTCTTGACGTTGGTGTTGCTAGGAGTCCCAGGGAACTTGAGCGCAATTCTCGAGATGATTTTCTCTCCTGTAATAACTCAGAGACATAACCCGTCAATAAGATGTACATTGGAAGATAGCACATGGGCACACTCCACGAAGAGCTTTGTAGACGAGGAGTAAAATTTTGAAAACAACGCAATACGAAACAGGAAGCCAGTGAAGTTGTTGTAATAAAGGGGTTATGTGATCGTACTTGGATGAACGAGTGACTACTCCAGCAGCTGTGTTTAGAATCCTCTGCATTTTGTTAACTTGATATTTGGGCAGACCAAAGTAAAGATGGTTGCAGTAATCTAGCTTTGTAGTAACAAAAGCATGTACAACCTTAGAGGTGGCCTCATCTGTCAGATATTAACGAATTTTAAACAGTCAAGAAGAAAAATGAAGTTCTACAAAGTTGATTTATCTGATCACTGAATGATATTTCCTGGTCAAAGATGATTCCAAGATTAGTAACTGTTCTAGCCATAGTGAGTTGCTCATTACTAAGGATGATCTCATCCAGTAAAGGGCTATTAAGATATTCAGAGTGAATTAATAATGTCATTTTTCTCTATGTTAAGCTTTAACTGGGTGTCGTCTGCGTAAAAATGGTAACTTAGTTTGTGCTTTTTGAGGACTTCAGATATGGGTATGAGATACAATGAATATATGAAGTTCATAGAGCTCTGCACTAGTATCGCAGAGGTCAGTGGTTCGAGTCCCGTGCAGGCCTGATTTTTTTCAGGTCTGATTTTCGCTATTGCATAAATAGGGCTATCTACTGCGAGGATCGTGCATCATTCGTAGATATGGGTATGGTATACATAAGATACAGAATAGGTCCCAAAACAGAGCCCTGAGACACTCCTATTAATAGATCAAGATGGTTTGACTGCGTACGCTCGATGTAGATAAATTGCGTGCGATCATGCCGAAATGCTGGTGCAATCTTGTGAGAAGAATCTCATGATTGACGGTGTCGAAAGCCTCAGGCATATCCAACAGCACCAGGATGACATTCTAACCGCTCTCTACAGAAAGTAAGATGTCGTTGTGAACTCTAATTAATGGCGTCTCTGTGCTGTGTAAGGCTTTGTATGAAGCAGATTGTAAGGGCTTGTGTAAGCCATTGCGCATCAAGTAATCGTTGAGTTGTAAGAACACTGCTTTCTCGATAGAAATAGAGAAAAATCTAAGATTTGAGATTGGACGAAAGTTACTAAAGGTTTCAGTATCAGCGTTAGGAAGTTCTTGAGGAGAGGTTTGATCACAGCTGACTTGAGTTCTTTAAGCATATTTTACCGGACGTGAGTGACAAATTGGCAATATTCTTTAAAATAGGAACTACTATTGCCTGGGTAGGGAAGCATTTTGGCATAACTGTTGCGGGTAGAGGATCTAGAGAGAAGCCCGCTAAAGTGTAGGTACGAAATAGATACGAAGAAATCGTATGAAGAGGATAAAGGAAGGAAAAAAAATGAGATTATAAAACTCAGTGTTAAAAAAAGAATGCCTTGCAGAAATCGTACAATGAACAACTGACGAAGATAGGAAAATTAGAAAAAAATTGAGCTGATGAAGACAAACAACAATAAAGTTATGAAAGAGAAGGACGACCAGATTGAAAAACTAAAAAGTGAGAAAGAAGTATTAACTTTGAAGTTTATAAAAGATGGGACCGATCCAGAAAAGCTCAGTCCTCGCACTTAGTGCGAAGGAATATGTTATAGCGACAGAAACAAACACAGCTATCCATTTCTAACATACATTTCGTCACGCAACGAACTTAACATTCAGTAATGTGAGTTTTTTGTTCTAATCTTGACCTGAACACCGCAGGCGAGAAACTGACTTTGTCAGTCTTTGTCTAAATCTTCATATGATGCACGCGGTGCTCCTTGGTATAGCTGAACCGTACTGGCAACTTCCTTTTCAGGAGATCAGAGAGATGTGAGAGTTTTCACAGTTTTTTACGCCATCACCCGCTAACTCGTCACCAGTCTATAGGACACTTTTAAGAAAAAATAAGAGCACTTAAGGGCCAGAAAAAAAAAAAAAAAAACGACTCTTAGTTTCTTTGAAACTTTTCTGCTATCGAAATTGAATTTTATATATAATAAACTAAATAACAATTCTTGTCAAAAGCATTTTAATATATTAAATTATAATAAATTGATTTCTTAATAAATCGGTTTTGAAACCCCATTATCATCACTGTGAGATTGGGCATACAAAGTGGGACACGATATCGGGTTTTTGCCATATTTCTTTTATATATGTGATAATAGTGAATGTTTTATTTGTCCAATTCATCTGTTTTCTAGTCACGATTTTTATGAGTTACATACTTTTAGTTGTTTTTTTTTTATAGTCTAAGGCAGCATTTTTTTTTATAATATTTTGGCGAAAGTTGGACGGAAAATTTGCGCATTTATATTGCTTTATACCATTTCTCTGATTTCAAGTTACTCCTAGTAATTTGAGTAATCTTAAAGAAGCTAATCTGGAGATTGTTTATACACAGAAAGCCAAAAATGTTCGCATTGTCTTGGTTTGGAAAAGGAACTAAATGATATGAAAACAGAAGAAAAAACTTTAAAAATCGAAATTAGCCGACTACAGGGTAGGCACAGTGAAGATAAGAAGAAATGGGAAGATGAGAATGAACGAAGGAAACAAGAAATCAAACAAATCAAGGATAAAAGAGATGCATTGCAGAAGGCATACGATGAACAACTGAAGAGGATAGCAAAATTAGTAAGAAAAATTGAACAGTTCAAGAAAAACAAAAACTTAGCTGTGAAAGAGAAGGACGACCAGATTGAAAAGCTGAAGAGTGAGAAAGAAGAATTAACGAAGCTTCAAAAAGATGAAACCGATCCAGAAGAGCTCAGACAGTTAAGGAAAGAAAAAACTGAGATGTCAACTAAAATAGAAGAGCTATGCAAAAGAGTGAATAACAGTGAGTCGGAGTGCAAGAGGCTTCAAGAGAAGCTTGATGAGTATATTAAATGCAGATGGCGTAAGTACAAAGGCACAAAGTACGTAGTGCCGTTGCTAATCTATTTCTACGCGTGGTTTAGCCATTGTAAAGTGGTCGTCATTATTTCTTTATCTCTTTAGACATAAAAGTAACTTAGTTGAGAAAACGTAGGTAAGAAGATGGAGCAGTAGCTCGAATTTTAAAATCAAGAATAGGCTACACTTCTTCACGAGTTACTGTCATAAACACCCCACCCCCCTTACAATTTTGGGAGAAAACGAAAGCAAAGTTTGTGAGGCATCCCACGTGGGTATTACGCCGGATAACCAGGAGCATTTGCAGCCTTTTTCTTTTGTAACACAGCTATTGTTTTGCCGTCATAATAAACGGTACTGAGGTTTTCAAACAACTGTGGTGTATGTAGCGTCTCAGTTTTTTATAATCTCTGCATATAAACTGATGCAAATATGTTCGATTAAATTCATGAAAAAGGATAAGAATGACAGATTTATGAGCCGATAAATTGATTGAAAGGTAGTTTTTAGGCGTAAACGGTCGTGTTTTGGGGGGGGGGGTGGGAGGGATTACGTTCCCTTTTCGATTGTTTTCTGAACTAAATTTCTTTTTCTGTTTAGGCGTTATCTCGCCAACTGGGAAGCAATTTGGCGACAACTGCCGTGGTGTCATATGCTTCTTAAAGAGAGAGTCGGCTGAACTGAGAGCTTACAGATCCTCCGATGGCCCGGGAAACGCAGTTGACATATTTGACCATAGGAGGGGCACCAGCAGTGGGACAGCAGGATTTAAGGATTCATGGTGGTCTATTGATCTGGGCCCAGGTAATAAGCTTGTAATCACAAACTGCTCATTGAGAGACGGTAAAAAGAATGGAGACTCAGCGCTTATCAATTGGCAACTAAAGGGATCTAATGATGGAATGAACTGGGAAAAATTTGAAAATTGTAGCAACATGAAGGATCCACAGTGCAAGTGCGATGATAGGTCTGTATTTCGTACAAGCCTATGGTCTTTTAGAGGGGAAATGAAACCTTTTCGCTTTTTTCGAATTTCTCAGACAGGTTGCAATTCCTCTAGAAAATATGGAATATTCTTATCTGGAATCGAACTATACGGAGTACTTCTAAGATCTGAGAGCTAACAGCCATGAAGGTTTTCGCCTTAACAGTTTTCATCAAGCATCCAAGATACTGACCCTTTCAGAAGACAAGGTCTGTTTACGAATTTCCAGCAAAAGTGTCTTTGAAGGGCCTCATCATATTTTCATGGTACTCTCTTAATTTTCCTTTAGTGTGTAATGCTTCCTTGCTTCGTTTTTCCCTGCTAGAACTGTTTGGTTTTGGATGGGATGCAAGTTGATAAAATTAAAGATGCAAATTGTTATGATCATCGCTCAGTCAATGGTATGGCAAATCAGTATTTTATAAGCAGTTACATGGCATTGCAGACATTGAAAATTAAAATAATGGAATAGTCTGCCAGCTACCTATGCTGCCAATCATCTCACTCAGTCTTAAGGATAGAGTGTCAATTAATCTTCTTCTGCTCGGGTTTTTTCACGAAGAATTCATTCACGTAGGAAATTACTAGCCTGAGGTCTTTGAAATCACCAAACCCGCGAAGTAGAGAAGAATTATCAAAGGATTTGTAATAAGGAGAAAGAGACTGGTTTTCAAAAGTGTTATGTAGACTGTCAGCCTGTTTTTCAGAGATTAAATTGGTGGAGTTTCTCTTTAAAAAGAGGTTTTCATATATTACCATTTTGGTTGTTGTTCTTCCTTCTTCTTGTATCTCCGTCAATAAGTTAGTATTTTGCACGAGCTCTCAATTGATAGCTCTCATATTGTGGAAATATAAACGAGTGTTAGATGGAACAAAACATTTTGTATTCATCTGTGACCTGAGGCATAAGCGCGAAAATGATGTGTGAAAGATTGATTAACATGCATCTCCAACAAATACGATACATTGATGCGTTATAGGTATTCACTACATCACCAGAGATCGGGGATATTTCGAGCCCGTTACGACATATCAGCGGTATATCGTATCACAGACAATTCCATCTGGCGGCGGTGGAAGTGAAGTGAACACGTAACTTTCTGTTTTCGTAAACCCCACCAGAGGAAGGTCTGGTACCTTTCTATCCCAGAGAGCCATAGGAGACGTCAAAACAAGGAAAATGGCGGCCAAATTGTGCAGTTACTGGGACTTATATCTTTCCTGTTCTTCCTTCCTTCCTAAAATTGGGGTATTTAAAATTGCCGTATTTGGCTTTTGAGCTCTGTGAAAATACGAAGAGTTTCCCAGCTCGAGGAATATTTGTGGGCCAACATATTTGACCGTTTACGAGCGATTTAGTTGAGCAAACTTCTGCAAAATGCATATCGATCTACGCAGTTGCGAATCTTCACAAGGTTGTTCCCACGGCAAAAGAATTGTAACACCTAGTCGACGCAGATTTTAAGAGTTTGTGTGGGGAGTGGAGTCAGAATTATGAGTTTACTTGCATACCTTTGGAAGAGGTAGGCTTGAATTTGAGTATTTCTTTTTCGTAGCGATGGACGCTTTAACCGATGCAGCTGCATTTCCAAGTACGCAGCGAAAGAATATCCCATTCTTAGACAGCTATTTTGAAAAAACAATCTTTTCCCATACATTTTCTTACACTGTTTCGGCGCCATTTTGCTTGTAACACGAGAACCGCCTCCTCCATATTGTCCCAAATTTCTGGCAATGAAGTGGACGGTGTACTCAGTGGGTACGTGACGGACGTGGACTGAATGTCAATGTGAACTGGTGCGATATCGTTCGTGACCTTAGAGATGAACACTAATGATGTCTCGTAAACAGCATTAGGAGATAAGCATCCGCATTTATCACCCCGTTTGAGGACCGATAGCCGCTTACACAACGAACTTACACAACGAAATTTGATTTCTTAGTATATGTTGACAAATAATTTGAAACATGCTCTAGGGTAAGGACTCGAAAGAGGATCCTTGAAGACATCCATGTTTCATCTTTACACGGTCTCTTTTAATTTCGTCCAGTTTTACTCTAATTTGTCGATTATAAAACAAAAAACAACAAAAGACAAACAAAACAAAAAAGAAACGGATCGCATTAAGCTAAAAGGACGTCATCTAAATCCATTAGCCCTAAACTTCTTTATCGCCAAAGATTGGCTCACACAGTCACACAGTCAGACCTTAGTTGTGTAAGTACGTAGAACAGACAAAAAATGTTTTGATTCGATGGCAGTTTTAAATCTTCTATTAGTCCAAGCAAAGCTGCTTTACGAAGGTGCTTCCTGTGTGCTGTCATTTTGTAGTCCAAAGGCTCGTTATTTTAGAATGGCATGTTACCTAGTTACTTAGTAACTATTCAAATATTTTGTTAACAGCTGAAACGAAAACCGGAAACGGAAGCCGAATTTTTCTACCCGTATTGATATCTCTTACTCGTTTGCTTCGCCTCTCGGGATCGAGACAAAATCAACACTCGACGATAAAATTGGTATCCACGCGCAGCCTTCTAATACCCTCTATAAGTATGCATTATTGGCCATGTAAGCATGAGTACAACATGGCTGGATACTGGCCGAGTTCTATTAATGCATTTTTAGGAACTAAGTCGAAGTCGAGGTCCATAAAAATGAAATGCACCTGACGAGAGAGGACTTTTTAACCCTTTCGAAACAGATTTGTAGTCCGAAGTTTTAATTTTTATTTTCCTATACAATTGTTTACAAAGCTCCATGATTGTAGAACACTCTCCGATTCGATGATAAGGTTTTTTGCGTTTATATATATATATATATAAGCGAATTTTTCTACCCGCGTTGATATCTCTTACTCGTTCGCTTCGCCTCTCGGGATCGAGACAAAATCAACACTCCAAGATAAAATTCGTATCCACTCGCAGCCTTCTAATATCCTCTTTAAGTATGCATTATTGACCATGTAAGCGTGAATACAACATGGCTGGATAAACCGCCCCATGCACCTTTTTTCTTGTGCGGGATCAAAGCTGGAAATCCCGACACAGCAAGATGGACCCATTTTGCCCGCTCGGGTAGCCAATCCGGCAGAACACAGGAGTCACTTTATATTGCTCACATGGTTGCCAGGTATGTCATGAACCATTATTAATTTATATCTCTGATAACTGAGTCGGTCCACAAGGATCCCGCCAAGAGTTTCAAGTCAATACCCCATGATTATAAAACGCTGTGTTTAAATGGCCGGCAGCCAGGAACGGTTTAAAATTTGATAGATGCCTGGCAGTCCATTTCTCCGAATATTTTCTGAGCGTTCCTTGAAACCTTTTAAAGTATCAAATGTTTGTTTAGAAATGCCATGTGATTTTAACAAATAGCCTTTTTTTTGACGAAATATCCGAACATGAGTGGCAATAAAAAATCCTAGTTTTTCTTTTTACCTTTATCCAATGCTGTTGTCCTACCACTACCTCAATATAATTTTTCCCTATAAGTTTTCATTGATGTAATGATAATTGATAATGAATTATTCTAATCTGGATATTGTTTATTTAGAAAGCCAAATATGTCCTCATTTGGAGACGGAACTTAACGCATTAAAAAACAAAATCAGCCAACTAGAGGGCATGCGCGCAGACGACGAAGAGAAATAGAAGGACACAAAAAAAAGGGGATAAGATAATCAAAGAAGACAAATCTAAAATCGCTAGCCTAAAGAGGACGAAAAGAGGAACTAAAATTGAAGTTACAAGTTCAAACAGATCCAAAAGACTTGGATCAGCTAAAGCTGAAACTGGTAAACTGTCCAAACAAGTAGAAGAGCTCAACGAAAAAGTAAAAAGCACTGAGTCAGAGTGCAAGAGGCTACATCTAATTCCAAAGTCGTAAGTACATATTTACAAAGATAATTGTGCCATGATATCCGCTGCTAAATTCTATGTAAGACATGTAAACAATGAACCTAAACAACCTAAGCAATAGAGTGTTAAATTTCCAGGTCCGAGTTCTGTCACGAGTTTTTATAATGCTCTAAAAGCGGGAAGCAAGGGGAAATTATCAACGCCTTAACAATCGTGATAAGGAGTGTAGTTTTCTAAGGTGTTTGTGGATTGTCTGCCTATTTTTGAAAAACATTAGTATTAATAAGAAACCATTTTATGGAGTTTCTTTTCACTAATATTATCATCTTTATTGTTACTTTTCATTCTTTTTGTAGCTCGTTTCGGACGAGCTTCAAGTTGATAGCGTTAAAGTGGAGAAATAAAAGATTGCTTGATTGAGTGAAACGTTTTGTGTTCAGCTGTTTACTGAAGCAAAACCGCAAAAATTGCTGGAGGAGTAGAACAGTTAAATTGACTTAGAGTTTTGATGAAAACGAATACTGTTGACGAGGTGCTAAACAAAATTACAAATGAGAACAAGATTTACAATTACAATTACAATTACAATACAAGAGACATTTTTTCTCTGAATCGAGTGCTGAGGAAGGATAATTCATGAAAACCAACTTTAAAGGTAATTCTAAATAGAAAATTTTGCTATAAGGGTCATAAGCAGTCGAACTTTGTAAATCAGTGTCGAACCATGATAAGAAACTAAATAAGGTCGTGTGGCTCAGGTTTTCTCACAAGCGCTACAATCTGATTGGCTACGCTACTCGCCATTTATTCAGTGACAGGTGATGAGTAACCCAATAGTCTGCGTCAAAAAACAAATTTAAGTTAAAAAAATGAGCCTATCTTGTTAAGTTTTGGACGACTGGTAGTTATATAAAACGACTAGATCATTCACTCTAGGTTTCCAAACATGTCTGGTAATTCTCGCTTTACCACTCATCAAACTTTTACGCGATCGTGAGAAATCTCAAGTTCTTTATCTAGTTATTAATTTTGTCACTCTAGATCTCGTTAGATGTGCGTTTCTCGTTAATCATCATAACATCTTCAAGCAGAAAGGGAAGAACAAGATAGAAAATTGCGGGATATTGTTTGATTACGCAACCACATTCTCAGAGAAATTGTGAAAAATTGATATTTATTTTTCAAGGGCGTATGGGTTAAACAGTTTCCATTTGGATACTATCGTTCACACCGACCTGAACTGAATTGTTGTAGAATGCCTTGGCAATCATCCAATTTGAAACTTCAACATCCCTCCTCATAAAACTTGTTTCATGAAGCAGCTGTGCGTTCATGGGGATATCAAGCACGCGGGAAGTTTGAAGAGCACCAAAGATACGCTTCTTGAGGCCCAGCCGAAGTTAACTCTAGTTTCTTTAGTGCTTAACTTCTTTTTTTAGTGAGCTCACAGCTGACACATGAATCAGTTATTTTGTGACTTTTTTTCTGAGGTGTTAGCATGAAGATGTTCTGCATCACACGCACGTCATTATTTTGCACAACAGGATATTTTATAATAAAGTGAATCACACACACATTTTGTTTTTTTTCTTATTTATTATGGAGGAAAGACGCATAATTGTCGTCACCACAAACAATATTATAGGATAACCAAAGAAAAGCGAGCTCTGATTGGTCAATTTAGTGTCCGCCATTTGCCCATGGGTGTACATTGGTGACGTGAACAAATGCACCGAACACGCTTATCTCAAGCTATCCTTGGGATCACATTGCTGTCACTCACCTGCCTGAATTTAATCCGAACATCTGAATAACCTAATTGTTCAAATAATGTAAATTGGCCACCGCGACCTGTTGACCCTGGCTGATTTAAATTTTGAACGCATTTGATGAAATTAAATTTTCTAGAGAGTTTGTGCATGGGACCTTGAGGCTATGCACCGACTCAACTCGATCTTGTGAATAACCCAGAACATCCAGTGTAATAAGCGTGGTTAGGAGGGTATCTTATATAACTCGGTTGAATCTCCCGCAAACTGTGACTCACAGGTGAGTTTCGATCGTACAATTTTGTCATCTTAAGCGACCTCCTGCTGTGAGAACCCACGAGATTTCTTATTATTCTTTAGAAGCTGAATGAATGACAGTAGTAACTTTACCTTGCATGTCAGCGTTTGATCATTGGGATGCTAAAAAGGCTGACGGTGTCAGTCACACTCAAGATGAAAAGTAATCGAGTAATCCTGAACAAAGAAATAAAGTGAGTTGTCAGCATTATTTTCACTTTCTATTGAAGTTGGCAAGTCTTTACCAGGATATGAATTTATGAACTAGTTTCTTATAAAAATTTATTACAACAGGAAGAAGAACTTGATGTCAACAAACAGAATGTCAACAAACAGAATGTTTGTTGATGTCAACAAACAGAATGTTTGTTGACAGCAACTTTACATAGTTAGTGCACAGCACTTTACTGCGGCCAACGGGTAAAGCCCAGCCAAGAGCTACTTTTCGTGGCCGAGTTTTCTTTGCTATACCTTATCAAATAATACTTTGAGAAGGGTAATGTGATACCGGGAGAAGAGAAAGGCTGCAATTTAATTGATTGATCATGAAGAAGTAATTGCTAAAATACGCGTAAAAGTTACATAATGAAAAAAAAAACCATAGCAACCACGTTCAATAAACTTTGTTCCCAATCATTATCGAGAACGTTTTAAAGAATAAGAGAATGAAAAATCGAAACTAATAAGATTCTGGAATGTTGAAGAAACTGAAGCAATTTATCATTATCTAAAGATGATACCGGGACATCATTAATCATTCATAACCATTGAAGTGGGCAAGCTTGAATGATTTGCGAAATTGACGATGACATTGTCAAATGTCTCCTCAATTCGAAGCTAACGAACTGAACGAATGTCTCTCACGATTCTTTGCCGAGATTTGCAAAAAGCGATTATTCCGTCTCCGAACCATACAGCGACTCCTGCCTACCAAACAGTAGTCCACCACTTTCATGGCTGTCAGATGACGATATATTACGGAGCTGGCGTTGGTATTTTTTAACAAAGCAGCAATTAAACACTGGGAGACAGTTGCCAGTACTTTATATTAATTTGCGGTTTCGCTCCACCGTTGCTTTGACTGCAAAAACCGTGGTTTGAGAATTTCTTACACTGATCTTTTTCATGTTTTTTGCCTTCCATACTTTGTTCTGGTTTCACAAAAAAACTGTCAATCATCTTATCTTTTCATTGACTTAAAATGATTGTTACGAATGCAGACACCTGTGTTCGTTTTTCAAACGGAAAGAAATAAAGGTCTTTTGTACGTTACGGAAACTTTCTCGGCTTCAGTTATAAACACCTTATAGCATGTATGTGGTATTTTGTAATAAGATCCTCGTAATTTTCAAAATTGTCCAAAATGCCACTTTGGCAGATACCAGTACAAGACATGCTATTACCTTTACTAATACAATGAGGGTGCCTGTTCGCTATCGGAGAAGCTTCATGTTGAAGAGACCAATCACGGGGCGATTCTGAAAATATAGCAACCATTACACTCCATTTGGAGGCAGATTTAATTTATGACTCAGTTTCGTCAATCTTTTCTTCTATCTTTTGGTAAACTAGGTGATTGTTGGAACAAATTCATTCATGAATTGACTTCATTATATTAACGATTTAAGCCTCATCACTCTTACCCATTACTAAAATATTTTCAGATACATTTTACCACTCTTCCCACAGAAAGCGGTTCTTCAAGAGAGAGTCAGGGAAATAATCAGCATCAACATAAACCAAAACTTATCAATTTTCTGCTTTAAACAGATACAAAATGCGTAAAACTCTTCTTCTCAGGGCGACACATATTCATACAGCATACAGTACATATTAAAATGCTTCTTCGAAGATTGACCTGGGAGCTAGTCGGTACTTTCATCGCAATGGGATGGATTTTTATGCCACGATAAATTAATTAACCTTACGTGCCTGATAGTAGTGAAAGAATTGGAATGACAGCCAGGTTGCCTTTTTCTTAAAGGGGTTCAGGGGCTGTCTTTTTCCAGGGAGCGCGAGAATGCCTGACCACAGACTCTTTCACTGCTACACTGTCAAAAAAACAAAAGAGACTGAGCCTGATCTTAGGTTAACTGGATTCTTTATTGGGGAAGTTTTGTTTTCTTTAGCTACTTCAGCCAAGTCAGAACCTGGAAATTACTTCAGTTTGACAAGATTCTCAACCGACTTTCGTAAAGAGATGGATAATTCAGCCAGAAATGAAGGTTTTTTAAGTTCTTACTATTTCATAACTTGAACGCTAACGGTTAAACTTACCATCCCCTCCAAGTCGTTACTTGTAATCAATGTAATATTACGTGGATCCTGAGAAATAATTTTTGCGGCTCGCAGCTAGCCTTTGTTTGCTTTCTGTCTTTTTAAACTTATTATGCGACAATCTTATTTTCGATGAGACAAATACTTTGTAGACACCTCTAATGACGCACAATGGCGACAGGCCCGTGTTACTGAAATCCAAATATTGTCCATATGTGCTGACGTAGGTGAACTCTGGAGACAACTAGGCACTCTCTTAGAGTTGCCAACGGCTGAGGTTCGTAATTTGGCGACGGACTACAGGATGTGTAGTGAAAAGGCCTGGAAAGTGATGGAAAGATGGCTCCAAATGAAGGGAAGTAAGGAAACACTTGGAATTCTTACCCGGATACCTTTGAGAGGATAGGAATGAGAACTGCCGTCGAAAAACTGATTGGTATGTGATTTTTACTGATTTGAAGGATGCTCACTCCAACCCAGGCCTAATTACAGTCACTCCCGATAACTCCAACCTTCAAGGGAAACTGAAAAAGGTTCGAGTTATCAGGAGTTCGAGTTATCGGGATTTGAGAAAAAATGACTGGAAATAAGAGAAAAAAGGTGTTAAATGTTTTTTTTTCATATGCAGTGTACATTTTAATCAAATTTGATTACAGTATGGAGAAGCCGAGTGAAAAAAAAAGACAATACATCTCTAAATTACTGTATAAATCGGAACGTAACGTAATGCGAAAAATATAACAAAGGAATGCAGCGGGGAGAGGTCTAGTAACTGCGAACCGTACAGGTTTTTTTTAAGAGAACAATGTCGGGCTACTGGTACAAATAACCTCATGCGATTTAAAAAGGACTTAGGAAGCAACACTTTGTGAAAACCAGCGGAACTTGAACTGAACTGACATGTTTTGTGTAATGTAAAAGAAAGGAAACAGTTCACACGGCTGCTTCAAAATAAATTTGAAGTTTTGGACAACAGTGTTTTGATTTGTCACCTATTGACAGACATGGTTCGAGTTCTCGAGGTTAAAATTATATAGAAAATGACCTGAAGGGAAATGAAAATTGGTTCGAGTTAGTGGGAGTTTGGAGTTATCGAGGGTTCGAGTTAACGAGGGTAAAATTACAGTGAATGTATGACGGAAATCCATGGGAAATGATTTTGGTTCGAGTAAAATTAGCGCGAGGTTCGAGTTAGCGAGGGTTCGAGTTATCGGGAGTCGACTGTATTTTCGTAAATAAAAATCTTAGACCCATGAGGGAAAAGACTATCAAACAACCCACCTCTCTTTCAGGCCAAAGAGGCTGCTTTTCTAATGCAGTACGCGCGATGGCAAGTTTTGTTATAATTACAGCGGCTACACCGGGTAGAAACTAATCACACTGAAGCCCTACTTTAGGTAAACAAAGATATCAACAAATCGACTTTTAGCTGATGGAAAGCAAAAGTTTGTTAGCCAATCAGCGTTTCATTGCACATAAAGTTTTTGCAAAGTTGAAGTACTGCGCCTGTTATCTTACTATCTTCCCTGGAAATCTGCAACTTTCCCTTTCACTTTCTATTTTAGGCGGAACAGGAAAAGTAGAGGTAGGGGTGAACTCCGTTCGAGCACAAAGTGGAAGAGGATTTGAGAAGTTTAGGAAGGATTTCCAGAACGAGCAACAGGGGGGAAAGTCAGAGATTCAAGAACTAAATGAAATCATGTACGAAATGCAAACCGATCCGGAAGAGTTCGATCCTCCAAAAACAGAAAAAATTGCGCAATCAGCTCAAATGACAGAGCTGGAAGACAAAGTTAGCAAAAGTGAGTCGGAGTGCAGGAGGCTACAGGAAGAGGTCAAGAAGACCATGAAATTCGAAAGTCGTAAGTACATACGTACTATTTTCTGTGAGATAGTTATGCACCGCCAACTGTTGCTTTGAGTTGCTAATCTGCTTAAGTAGAAGGTGAGGTCATCCATTAGGCCATAAAATAGCAATTGTAGCCCATTACTTGTTTATCAGTTAAGTAACTTAACGGTTACTGGATGGAGCGGTAGGTCAACTTTCAAATATTACATCACACCCTTCATTGATTTACCAGGGTATTACCACTATTACCACTACTATGCAGTCTGTTAACCCGACAATAACCATTTCATGAATAGTTCAGGTCTAATCAGGTCCCTCTAGGTTGTTCTGTATTTTGCTCGCTGCTTCCAGGTGCCTTATGCAATGTTCTTCCGCTTCAGGGTTTCTTTTCACAGTATCATCGAATCGTAGCCTAGGCCTTCCCTGATTTCCATTGCCTTCACAAAGCTGGGAGTACAACAGTTGCCTGGGTAATCTCGCGATGTCCATCCCCTCTACGTGGTTGAGGCATCTCAGGTTCATCTGAGTTAATCTTAATATGTTAGCTATAGATGGGAGACCTGCTTTCTTCAAGTCTCTTTGTTCGTGATTTTGTTTTTTCCAGGCGTCGTCAGCCTGTTAATTCCTTAGAAATTGGGAGAAAACGGTGAAAAGTTTATAAGAAACGATTTCAGGACAAGTGGTTGACAAGCGTTTCGGACTCGGTAGTCAGTTCTCGGCATGAATCTGAATCACACCAAGTACACTTTAGGAACTGCACCTACAGTCATTTTACAATCTCTGTTAGATATTGCCGGGATGATCAATTAATTGTTATCTTGATTTCTGTTTTTACATAGATACTTTCGTACTGGCTAAAGAGGAATTTGCTGATGTCATACGCTTCTTATAATCGAATGCTCCATCTCAAATGTCAGCTTGCAGATCTTCTGATGGCCTAGGAAAAGCAAATGACATATTAATTCATATGAAGGGAGCTACCAGTGAAACAAAAGAGTTGGAAAACTCATGGTGGGCTGTTGATCTGAGCCCAAACCATCGGCTTGTGATCACACACTACTCTTTGAGACACGGCAAAAGGGATGGAGAGTAAGTCCTAACCCATTGGCAGCTGGAGGGATCCAGTGATGGGAAGAACTGGAAAAAACTTAAAACTAATCATGGAAAGGTAGATTTGCCACGCTTTGGAAGTCCTCACCCATTTTGCACAGGACAATAGTCGGTTGAAGGAGTAAGAGAAGCTTTCTGTTTTTTTAGTTTTTTTCCCAACAGACAGAAATTCCTTTGGCCAATATGGAATTTACTTATCTGGAATCGAGCTATTCAGAGTATTTCAGCTTTGGGGGGTTTCATTTATACAGTTTTTCGTATCCAATCTCTCAGTCAAGGGCATTATCAGCCAACATAACAGCAAGCCAAAACGGCATTGTTTATTTACTTATAGCTCTCCAATTAAATTCTCTTTCATGCGTTGGAAGCAAACTATGTTGATTTTTTGTACTTTCTGAAGCAGCATTTGAGATCAGATTTTTTAATGTCACTATCACTGGGCTCTACAAAACGAGTTCAGTTGTTCTTCCAGGTAAAGTTATAAAGATAAAAAAGTGAAACTCTCGAGCTGGCCTTTTCCCCCTAACTTCGTTCTTTTTCGACGTGAATAATCTTTGGACAAATATCGACGTAAATGGGGGTTATTTAACAAGTAAACCCCTCAGGCCGCTGGTAACGTCCACAGCTGAGATATTCATCAGTCCGAGAAATTAATATTGTAAAATTTTGAGGAAAATCTTTCAGTCATGTGAAGTAATAAAGATGAAAAGTGAAACGCTAGAGCTGGCATTTCTCGTTAGATTTGTTTCTCAGTCGTTCTTCCTTTTTTCACGCATTTCTCTCGGTGTTTACCGGCAACTCCACCATGAACACAACAAAGCCAGTGGGGCCAAGTAGGACTAATTCATCACGCTGCCGTGCAAAGTGTTAAAAAAAAAATCACGAGAGTGAGAACCAACGCAAAGTGGGTTAAGTCTGGAACAGCAACGTGAATAAGTCTCAGCCAGAGAACCTTCGAACTTTCCTTAGAAACTGCTAAAACCTATGTCTCACTTAGAGGCAATAGCAAATTATCCATCTAAGCGCGCATGTGCAACCATTTGACCGCTGTGTTCTGTAGATTTGATTTTTATCCCAATATCGACTTAAAATAAAACGAGTCTCAGTGCGTGACACGTTTCTGTACTCTTATCGACAACGGAAAATTGATTATTACTGACAATTGTGCTAAAAATGAGAATTGCTTAGTATTGAAGTTGACAATTATGATAGTAATATATCTCCCTTTAAATGTCATCGTTACATATTCCCAACCATCGGAATTGTTGTTAGTGGCACACATTCAAAACGTAACGATTAAACTCCATTTTATCAATTGTATGCCTGAATTCTGGCTCGAAATTCTCTGGTGTCGTTCTTTCAAGTAGCTAAATTATGTATAAAAGCCATGTTTAGCCATACTTGTAAGTTGTATTCCGACAAGTACATCGATGATAGTTTAATGGTGCCAGTGGGTACATTTCACATACTGTAAAAAAAGAGATTCTGTAAACAACTTGTCATGACATGCGCAGTTCTACCGTATTGGCAGGATTCTTTGCAAAGTCTACAAAGTGGTCCATGGAAAAAGAGTGCAGGGATTTCAGGCTGCTTGTATATTCGCAGAGATATTTTTTTGCAGTTTTTTTGCCAGCGCCTAGCAAGACGTCTGACACTTTTTCGTTTCTGGTGAACTCTGCGTAATCCCTCAGTTGTCTAGCGACATAAAAGCCTCGCTTCAGATCGCATTTTCTGACGAGCTTTTCAATTTTTCGAGTTCCACCATATCCAGCCATCTAACTTAATCAAGTAACGCAGTCATTCACCTTCCAAGTGAGTGACCAAGACCTAAAAAAAAGCCGCTTTTCCCTGGATAGGGGTTTTCATTAACAAAGATAGCAAATAATGCACATTACTGCTGATTGTTACGCACTAGTCTCCATACCGCTCACAAGACATGGAAATCTATCCATATTTAGCCAATCAGGAAAAGAAACGAAACTTTTTGAGTATGATGGGGATACGTTTCTAAAGGAACTGTGGGGGCTTCGTCGCTGAGGGGCATAACAAAATAATTTGTTTTAGTATATACACACTCAGTGATCTTGGCTTTTCAAACAATCTGATTGGTTCGCTGTCTCGGGCTAATCAACAATGTACACCTCCGAGCGAGTGGATAATGTGAAAAACAAAATAGCGGGCATAAACTCGCGTTTCGCTAAAGTTTCAGAAGCAAAAATTGCCTTTAAATGGCTTCCTTTTAATTTCGTCGAGATCACTTCGTGTGTATATACTAAAACAATTATTCTTTTCAATCTCGGTGAATAGTGGCTTTCGGGAATATTTACCTCGCCGCTTCGCGGCTCGGTAAATATTTAGCCACTTTTCACCTCGATTTCAAAAAAATAATTGTTAATTATCAACTGAGTTAATAATGTAAATTGGCCACCGTAACGATGGCTATTAACGTTATCAACTCAGTTGATAAAACCAATTGAATGAGCGCCCGTTGGAAGTTAACTATGTATGTCAGTGTTTGATGGGATAAATGGCTGACTGTGTCAGAGAAATCACACACTTGAGAGGGAAGGAGAATTGTCCAGTAATCTTGAACAATTTTCATGAAAAATGAAATGCATTGTGTGCATTTTTTTAACTAACCAGTGAGGTAGGCAAGTCTTCACTAGGATACAACCTCATAAACTTGTTTCTTTGTCTAAACTTCTCACTTCGAGACCGAAGTTGCTGAGTTGCAGAAATGCATTGATTCACTTGCAAATTATCTGTTTAAATATACCAAAACCTGCCAGAGTTTACAATAGGTCCTTGAGTTCCCTTTGACTCGACGCCTGACGGGCTACAACAGCTTTCTGCGGCAAGAGTATCATGCAAATATAATTATCTCAAAGAGAGCTGCTGTAAGCGTTCTTGAAAAGCTACTTTTTTGGTGCGCAATTAATCAGGATCGATGTAAACGGTAAGTATTAGCTTAGGAATAGTTAGTATATGTTTTGAACCTGGGAGTAAATGTCGATCGTGTAGTCTGATCGTCCGAAGTAGAGTAGTTTTTTAAGGAACCGTTATAGGTTACGTAATTGTCACTGACGTTTGGACAACCCCAGGGAGGGAAAAACGTCATCATAGACAAGTTATGCCACCATAAAGGGGGCCTTAGAATCTCTAAGTAATATTTTGCCATTTTGCCATTTATCGTTAACATCAAGTGAACTTTATCTTCTGTTCAAAACATCCGTGTCTCAAGATAGGGAAGTAGGCACTTCATCCAAGGAAGTTTACGTGTTCGAGATCGGAGAGGACCCCAAACACCCTATCGAATTCATGTTTATCGTTGCACGATTTTATTTTCCAAACTAGCATTTACATCTATGTAAGCCAGCACTGGCATTCAAAGACAGCTTTAAAAGAACGACTGTGTGTTCTGATCTTAATTCCCTTCGCCATGCTTCGTGGCTCGTAATAAAGAACTTGATGCCAACAAACAGAAAATTAGCGCACAGCAACTTTACACTTAACGGAGTTACTGCGGCCAACGGGCAAAGCTGAGCTAAGAGCTGCTTTTCGTGGCCAGATTTTCTTTGTTATACCTTATAAAGTAATACTTTTAGGAGGATGAATTGACACCGGAAGAGGAATTGATTGATCATGTAGACGTAATTGTCAACATATGCGGAAAACTTTTATAATGAAAAGAAACCATAGCAACCACCTTCAATAAACTTTGTCCCCGATTACCGCAGGTTTAACCACTTTGTGTCATGTAAGATATAGGGATGCGAAATGTTTGACTCGTTCGTTTCACACAGAATCTAAGGACACAAGAATGTTTTATAAAATGAGAAATTGTGAGAAAAAAAATCAAGCCTATTAGGGTTCTTGAGTGTTGAAGAAATTGAAGCAATTTATGATTATCTAAAAATAATACTTGACATTGCACAGAATGCCCTGGCATCATTAATCATTCTTAACCATTGAAGCGAGCAAATTTGAACGATTTATGAACTTATATAATATTTAGCCATAATTTGCCGGCATCGGCTCTTTCGCAACAACACTATCGCGCTCTCCAGAAAAAAAAACAGAACAACTGATTAGACCTTGACTGGATTCTTTACTGGAGTCTTTTCTCTTCTTTAGCTACTTCAGCCAAGTCAGAACCTGGAAATTGCCTCAGTTTGACAAGATCCTTAACCAACTTTCGTAAAGAGATGGATAATTCAGCCAGAAGTGAAGGTTCTTAAATTTCTTATCTCATAACTTGAACGCAAATAGTTGAACTTACCATCCCCTCCAAGTCGTTGTTGCAATCAATATAATATTACGTGGAATTCTGAGAAATCATTTCTGCGGCTCTCAGCTAGCCTTTATTTGCTTTCTGTTCTTTTTTAACCCTTCAAGTGGTTACTTGTAATCAGTTTTATATTATAAAGCACCCAGAGAAACGATTTTGCGGCTCCCAGAGGGCCTTTGTTTATTTTCTGCTTTTTTAAACCTGTTATGTGACAATTTTATTTTCAATGAATACTTATTTGGCAGACACCTCAAAAAACACACTATGGCGACAGGCCCGTGTCACTGAAAGCCACATACTGTTAATACATAAAGACGTAACTGAGTTCTGGAGAGAACTAGGCACTCTCTTAAGGTTGCCACCTGGTGAGGTACGTAGAATGGAAACGGATTACAGATCTTGTCGCGAAAGGGCGTGGAGAGTGATGGAAAGGTGGCTCGAAAAGAAGGGAAGTCAGGCAACACTGGGAATTCTTGCAGATGCCCTTGAGAATGAGAATATAGGAATGAGAAGAGCCGTCGAAAAGCTGATTGGTATGTAATTTTCTTTTTTTGAAGAGTGCTCACTCAGTGCCAGGTTTATTATTTTCGTAATTAAACGGCCTTAAACCCACAAGGGAAAAAATCATCAAACGACCAACTTGTCTACGATGCCAATAAGGTTAAATTTCTAATGCAGTTCGACCTGTAGGCAAGTTTTGCTATATTCCCAAAAGTTATATCAAGTAAAGAGAAACTAATTATATTCAAGCCCTACCTTATGTAAACAAAGATATCAAGAAATGTATTATTAGCCGATAGTTTGTGAGCCCGATCGACATTTCAACGCTGAGTCCGTTTGCGAAGTTGAAGTTCCTTGAATTTAGCGAAACAATAGAGACAAATTGAGCTATAGTTAACAATTATTCGCCGAAGGCGAGGTGAATATCGTCGAATAATCCCCGAGACGAAGTCGAGGGGATTATTCGACAATATTCACCGAACCTGAGGCGAATAATTGTTTTAGTATAATTTCAGAGCTGAACAACAGAGAAATCTCTAAAATCATAACATTTTAGTAACATTTATTAACATTTTAGTTTAACATTTTATATAAACCGCGCGGAGCGGTTTATATAGCGTCATATAAGGAACCGCTCGACCAATCAGATTGCTGGAAACTCTTTGCTCAGCTCTGAAATTATACTAA